CCAAAAAATAATCGTAAAAATATCATACTTTCGTCCTGAATATCGAGAAAACACTTCATACAGTGATTATTGGACCTTTAAAGAGTATTCTTAGGAAGTTTCAGCTGAATCCAAGTTTGAGCGATTTTCGTCGTAGTAGCACTTTAAGTAAATAGCTTCATAATCTACATAAGGTGTTATCTTACGTGGTGGTTGTGGTACAAGTTGTACTTCAGCTTTAGTCCCATCAACATCAGGAATCCATGCACGACAAGGGAAGATGTAATGCTCTCCTTGATGTGGACTGTTGAGCAGGATCTCCTCCAGGTACCAACGTGTTCCTGGTTTATTGCCTCCATCATGGCCAACACAAATCGCTTGCACCTACAAAGTAATGATAAAAATAAATAATGATATTCATGAAGCCGGATGATGATGATGATATGATGATGATGATGATGACGATGACGAAAATGATAACGACTGATATTGATAATGATGTTGATGGTTACTTATTACTGTTGATGGTGACAAGAATGATAATGATAATAATGAAGATGATGACTGATGAAGATGATTGATGATGACGATTAATGACGATAAGGACGATAGCCTTTCTCCGGGTTGTACAAAACTTTTTCTTTCGTAAAAAGTTTACATGTGAGTTAAGTGCTGYGTTTGGATTCGCCTCAAAAAAACACTGTTTCCCGCGGAAACATATATACAGTACATATAAAAATATATACAGTATGAGTGGCCATGTTGTATCAGATATACAAACTCGAGGCGTAGCCGAGAGTTTGTATATTGGATACAACACGGACACGAATACTGTAGATTACTTGTCAAACCTCTAGGTTAGTTCCTTTGTGTTTCACTAAAATTTTCAAAATTAAAGTGAATTTGGCCAAGAAAATCCAACTTAAAGTTTATGCAAATGAACACAGTTTTGTATCAGATTTACAACACTCTTCACAGTCGTGATTTCTGTTGTGTTTTCCTCACGAATTATTAATGAGTTTGACAAGTATTGATCGTCCATACCTTTCCAATATCATTAGCCGATACTGTAAAGTAGTCAGTTTGGTCTGGTTCAAATAATGTCTCCATGATCCCTGATCGCTTGAGTTCTATCTTGCCAGTGTCACCCTTGTCTCCATGGATACGAGCCCATACGTTCGCATCAGTGCCGGCGTTCTTTAAGGTACCAGTTTTGATCCTCAGATGATAAACAGCTATGGGTAATGACAATTATACTATTAGACCAGAAAATAATAATAATAAAGCTTCAACAATGGAATTTTCAAGGAGTGGCTCTTCATCTACTGAATTTTATCAAATCCTGAAACAACCTCTAGGATGATCTAAGTAAGGGTATGCCCAACTCACAGATGGAACCCTGAAATACTTATGGACTGAACCAAGTCAGGGCATGCCTAACTCACAGAAGTAACCCTTAAAGATCCTCTGGGCTGAAGTTAGTTAGGGCACGGCTAAACCACAGTTCGAAACTGAATTCAGCGTGTTAAAATTTCTTGCTCGACTCGAAGGCCTGTCTCGCCTCRAAGTGCCAATGGCGCAAATCTAGTCGTTTAAGTGAAGGGCGGGGACTCTAAGTGCTATGCCACCCAGTGCTTCCCAAGAGCCCAGTCCATAAAATATGAGTCAACCACTGAGATAATCGGGGAAAGGCGGTAATTCATAAATCAAACTTGAATTTGTGGAGGATGGAAAACTTAGAACAAGGCTATAAAAAAGGGAAGAGAGGAAGAGAGGAACTACAAAATAACCTTTAGCTAAAACAGGCCTGCAGTACACCAACGACAATGGGATAACTGCTGCGCTAAACTAGGTCAACTGGCTACGGCCATGAACAGTTATTCTGTATTTACCTTTTGCGCCAGCCATTCGTATTTCAGAAATTTTGAAAAACGAAGTTTGAATTTCTGCACCTTGGCCGCCAATCACTTTACTGGTATGCGCCTTGCCGTGTTTTTAAAATCGATAGGAATGTTTTAAAATGATCGCGMATGCTTTCAAGAGACTTCTCAAATACWTCAATAATTTAGAGTAGAAACAAAAACAATTTTTCCCTTAAGCAAAATTTTGTAATCTGCTTTTTTTTTTATATATATATAACAACATCGAATTACGAAAGCTGACGGTTTGAGTCTCTATRAAAATCGTTATTAATGGTTTGAGGAGCCTTTCCAGAACACTTGAAAACTTATTTTTATCCAAACGACACAAAAAATTGCTTCAAGGAGTAGTTTTTTTCCCCCAACTTATTTTTGGATGTTTGGGATCCAACACTCTTTCTCGCACAAAGTTATAGGGAACGGATACGGCTGTACTGTAAGGTAACATGTTTAACCGTAGCCGTGACTACGCTAGGGATCAGGCCCTAAAATACGCCGCAAACACGGAGAAACATTYAGAATCAATGACTGAAATTCAATATTGCGACTCTTTCAACAACAACAACGTTATAACGCCTTGCTAAACGTCGAACGCCGGTTTGGGGCTTGCGGTACATAGCAAGAACGTCGAGCTAAACTTCTCATTATTAAATAAATTATTTGAAACGATGGGAAGCCATTTAAGTGTAGCGTAATGTCGTCACATGTACGTGCCCATAGCCTTCTCGTTTCATTCACGCAATAATCTGACACACAAAAATCTCTGTATACTGACCTGGTTTAGCACTAAGCTCTCTGACTGTTTTACCATCGCCTTCTTCAGCTGCTAACCAACTCATGCACGGAAACACCACGTGCTCTTCACGTGACGGTACATCTACAGTAATCTCTTCTAGGTACCAGCCTCCCCTTCCTTGCTCACCATCGTGACTTATTAAGACTTTTTCGATCTGGGAAAATAAGTAAAACAATTGTAAAACAATATTTAAATCGTTATACACAACACCATATAAGAGCAAGGCTATGAGAAAAAGATCTTTGAACTATACCCAAGAGAGACCACAGTGCACCATGTTCACTGTTTCAAAAAAAAAGGCCGATGTTTCGAGTAGGATTTTGTTATTCAAATCACAGGGAACCCAAGCTCGGTTTTTGTGTCAGTAAATATGGTTAAAAAATAGAACCGTTTTTTTTCGAGATTGATTGAAAAACTCGACACCAAAACCTCGCTTGGGCTCCCTGTTCTAAATCACACAAACTTACCGGTCCAATGTCGACAGTTTCGATAGTAAACTTATACGTTCTTCCCTTCTCGAACTTGATCTTACTGTTCCCATCTTGACGTAGCATTATCTGTTCGGTCATGCCTTTGGAGCCTACGAGCTGGATGTACACGTTGCCTTCTGTACCATCGCCCAGGACATCTCCCATTTTGAGGCATAGCTGATAGGCGACCACTAGAAAGAAAAAAGGTTGCAATCAATAGACGTTACTTCCGGTCTCCTGCGTCATTTCCGGTCTCCTACGTCAAATAGACGAATGGCAAGTGTTTAAAAGACATGAAGTGCAGTGTTTGTCCTTCACTTACTCTTGAGATAATTTAAACCTATTGAAACCAAGGCATAGAAATACTATGATAGATTTATATACGTAAAAGAATAAGATAAGCGGCAAATATATACTCCATTTCATGGAACGAGGGTCACAAGTTTGTTAGAGGTTCACAAGTTTGTTAGCAAGTGGCTATTAAGTGCTACTCTCGTAAGACAAGGACGATTTAGATAAAAAGTCATAGAGTAGATGTCCTATCTTTATCTATCGAACCACTTTTCGATGCTCGGTTCTATGCTTTCATATTAAAGCCGAACAGCGATCGTGATAATTATAGTAGTGAGACCATGTTATGATTATGATGGTAAGTATATATAGACATATAAATATATAAAGCTATATGTTGAAACTATGCGGTCAATAAGCCAAAGGCAGAAGAACTTTTTTTGCTTAAAATACATCCAATTTCATATTTACCGATACAGGACGCTTTAGAAGCCGGCACTTCAATTCTCCATACACCACTGGCTTCAAACATCCCGGGTTTTGCGGCTATATTCATTTAGCAATGAATAACAAAAAAAATCCCAAACAAATCAGAGCGGTCATATCTAGTAAATGGAAAGTGATGTTCGTTTTTCGCCGCTCCTTGAATACCGGCTCCGACCTACGCCATCTGGTTTTGAGGACGATTCATTTTCGATGCTTTTTTGAACCTTATTAATTTGTGGCTTGTTTCTTCTTTGAAAAGGAAATAATAAACTTTTGATTTTTTGATATTTGAAAGTGTCGCTGTTCGATTTATTATTATTGAAACTAAAACAACAAAGCAAGGTGTGAGCTACAAACCACAACCGTCTTGAGAAACCCTTTTTTWAAAATATGAATTATTTTACTGTACTAGCTTGAGCTATCGTAAAAAATAATTCAAAATTAATTTTTTAATTTAAATGTGAATAAAAATATATTTATGAAATTAAAAATATATAAAAATAACAATAAATTTGATATATTATAATTTTTCTTTGTTTGAAAATGTAGGGAATGATATTCTTTAACGCATTATTAAGGAAACCAGTTGAATTTGCTAAATTACATTCAAAAGTTCATGAATGATTCAATTCACTCCACAAAAATTTAGTCGACCTTTATTTAAAAAAAGCTGAATAGAAAGGATACAAAAGGAAAATGTCCATCACGTGGTATGGTTTCGAGCCTCGACTGATTTGTTCAGATATAGATACAAACGTTGCTTCCACAAAAATTCTCTTTTCTATTCTTTTATAGAAAATATGCTTTTCTCTTGTTTTTTTGTGTATATTTTGGCTTTTTTAATTTTTCCATTTGTTTTTATTTGGTGTACAGAGTTTTTATCTTTATTTCATTTTATTTTATTYTATTTATTTTTGCCTACAGAGTTGATTTGTACGAAACCAAAACATAATCCTGACATTGAAATGGCTTCCCGGGCACTCGTAGCGCAGTGATTGGATGTCATGTCTTTTGATTTTGATTGGCTTAGAGCTTTGAGGAAAAATGGCTATCTAAAGATGATATTGGAATACCCCTCTGGTATGCTGTTTGTCTATAGAGCTTACCCAATTAAATATAAAAAATAGAATGAGAGACATACGTTCGACAACATTTCTCACATTATTATTTGACTAACAATTTTTCTTCTAATCAGCCCTTCACAAAAATAAAGACATTTCATAGATCTTAAAGCAATTTTACCATTTGTTTTATTGATGTAAAATCTTGGTCTCAGGGGGRAAAAATCTACCTCAGGAAAAAAGCATTTGCTTTTGGTATTGAAAATTAAACTAGCAAAGATAAGTTAAAATGAACGCATGCGCAACATGGTGTCGCCAAAATTCCTGTATCTCACATATTGCAACAAAATTATGAATCAAAACCATATTTTGTCGTCTCTAGACTATTTTTCATTTCAAGCTATTAATGCTAAAGGATACAACATTCAGTTCCAAGCAAAAACATTACAACAAACCGCCAAAAATATTTTTTTCTTACCGCCAAAAATATTTTTTTCTTACCGCCAAAATATCTTAATGAAAAGGAATGACTAAAATTAACCGACAATGAAGCAAGTAAAACGGATGTCGCTTAATTATTTAGTTTAAGAAAAAATATAATATTCATGGAAGAAAATCGAAAAGGTTCATTAAAAAAGCAACATGATATTAAAACTTTGAAACCATGTTTTAGAAATTGCATAAAAGATAATAAATTTAATTCGGGTATTTATCTCAATATTCTCGCTACTTTTATTGCGAGGTCAGTGTGTGGTATCGTATGCCAGCTGGTTTGCGCGATATAGTGTACTAGCTTCATAAAAGGATGTCAGATTAAATATGGTTCTAATAGAATCTAATCAATAAAATGGCTACCTTTTCTATGAATACAATCTGTTTCTTTGATGTGAATATTTTTTTATAATAACGTCGTAAAACTAAAAAAAAATTCAATAAGATATCATGGAGAAAAAGAAATTTTCTTCTTCAATTAAGCACTCAAAAACTTCATTAATTAATATTTTAAGAAATATTGATTCAAACATCATGAGCTGGAAGAATGTCCAAAAAAAAAAAAATGTATAAACCTTATGTTTTTGCAAAATAGAAAAATGGTCTTATTTTTTTATTCTTGGCTTTAAAATTAATCTTGACTGAAAAATACGTATTATTTATATTTTTAAAATGGGTGTAATGTTAGTAATATTTGGCCAGCGAGGGAAAAAAACACAAAACGATTCGTTCAACGACATAGGTTAAATAGATTTAGACATATTTATGACTCACGATCATACTAATATTCTATTCTAAAAATTACCTTTTCAAGATRCATTCGACTTGAGTTTTCATAAAACGTTTGATACCACATTCATACCTAAATGAGTAAGAACTTCAAACCCGCAATCTTAGATCTCAAACTAAGTCTCAACGCCAGAGAATTTTATGTTTAACGCCTTGAAAAAATACCATGGCCTTGCCAAGCGAAAATTTCAATGCAATGAACTCTGGTTCGGAGGCGGAAGTTCTTGAGACAAAATATGGCTGGAGAAAATGTTGTTGGAAAATATTTGATTGGATTTGTCAATTATCTCTACGTCAGATAGGAAATGTACGGTAATACAAGGAAAGGGCGGGAACGTTAGAAAGTCAAAACAAACACAATTCAAAATACCTAAAAGGAAAAGAATATATTTCAGAATCGATAAAACCGAAAAAATAATTTAACATCTAATTGGAAAATTGAATGAAAACGACGGGAGTTCCGAACTGGCTTTCTCATTGTTTCATAACAACATGGGAAGCCATTTCAAAGTCATGGTTAGAAACTTAGAAAATTATTCATCATTTTTAATCATTATAAACTCGATCTCATTAAAACTTCGAGAAAGCACGATATTGTAATAATATTCGAAAAAGTGTTGAGAAAATAAAGCAAAATGAAATAACTGAAAACGTAAACTCATGACGTCCGTGCAGCTAGTGCCATTCCTCTTCAAACGAGAAAAATGTTCTCCTTTGGGAGAAGAAAATCTCTCGGCATGCAAACATTTAACAGTTTCTGCTCTACAACAGAGGCTCTACAACAGAGGCTCTACAACAGAGGCTCTACAACAGAGGCTCTACAACAGAGGCTCTACAATATGGATATATTTGTGAATAGAGATGTTGCACCATTACGTGCCACGGCCATTTTAGATGGCAGAACTGTAAAATCCCTTTGCTCTCTGGAACACTTCTTTTTAGCTTCGTTGTTTGTTGTGGACATTTCAGACCATGTGATGTTGGGAGTTGATTCTTTCATATGTAAATATTTTAACACGTTTGTCATAAAAGAACAATTCTCAAGGGAATGTCATGTGATCTGAAATTAGAAATTTGCATACGAAGCAATCCAACATGGCCGCCGTCACGTGATGGTGCAAAACCTCTAGACTACTTTCAACAACAGAACATACCTTTAGGTTCCGGAGATTCTGTCACGTCTCTTGTAACTATCTCTGTCCTTCTTTCTATGTACCCTCTTCTCGGCTCAACCTTAGAAACATCTCCAGGGGATACCTCGGGTTCTCTGTAGGACCGTTCAGACACATCTACCCGGTTTACTGTCTCTGATGGAGGAGCAGGTCGAGGAGGTGGGGTATCTTCCACTTGAGGGGTACTGCGCTCGATTCGGATTCTTTCTTCGCGGGCTTTTTCTTGAGGTGTCAGAACGATGGGTTTTTTGTAGCGCGTTTCCTCTTCGATAACCATGCGCTTGGATGGTGTAGTTCCATACCTACAGAAAAATAGATTCAAAAATAAGTCATTTCCTGTGTCGTATCATGCGAGATTTCGTGACTTTAGTGACATTTTGTTACAAATTTTGAAAAAAATTTATTACGCGCAAATTTATGACGTAATGATTAAATGCGCGGGATATTAGCTAATATAGACCCCCTTGCATATGACGTCAAAACAGCTCAATTTGAAGGACAAAACATAAGAATTGTCTGAGAATAGACCTCTTCGGCTCTGACGTAATGTTTTCCCATTTCAGACCACATGTCATTCCCTGGAGTATTATTTCTTTATTTAAGGTTTGCGCTCGGTTGCACATGAGAAGAAACATGAATATGGATACAGATCAACAAAGAATCTTATTCTCAAGGGAATGACACGTGGTCTGAAATGGGAAAAAAAGTACGTCAGAGCCGAAGAGGTCTATTCTCAGAYAATTCTTATGTTTTGTCCTTCAAATTGAGCTGTTTTGACGTCATATGCAAAGTGCCTATTAGTAGATAATTAGTAAGTGCCAGACACTGAGGGTGGTCCTTAAAGGGGTTTCTTTTCGTCTTCAGTGAATGTTTTGTCATAAACAAATCAAGGGATCAAACGCACCTTATTTCCTCTGTGGTAATAGTACCAGATGGAGACACAGTAGTCTTGGCTGGTGTATTGATAGTCTTGTACTTAGTTTCTTCTTTGATAATTTGTCTCTGCGGGGCCGGGGGAGGTGTAGTGCCATACCTGTTCTCCTCATCCATAATCAGTCTCTTCGATTCTGGGGGCTTTTGTGGTGTGGTGTAACCCCCCTGACGAGTTTGAAATGTAGTAGTAGTTTTCTCCACGACAGTCTTACTAACAGACCTAGTAGGTGTTGGGGGTCCTGTGGATGTTGTAGTCGTGGTCGTTATTTGAGAGCCTGGGACACCAGGCACCAGGTCTCGCTCGATTTTCTTGTCGTCTTCTGTCGGGTCGAGCCAGCGGTTGCACGGAAAAACAAGCTTTTCGCTACGAGAGGGTATTTCCACCGATACTTGCTCAAGCTTCCAACCAGCTGCAAGGCCCTTATTGTCATGGCCGATGCGGAATTGTTTGATCTGAAATCAATAAATGCAAACTAATTTTTCAACTAAATTACTCATAAGTAGAAAACATAATACAGCAAAACCCCTATTTAAGCGGCCAACTTCGCAAAATAGAGGTTKGTCGCTTCATAGAGGTATAAATTAGTGCAAAAACCCTCTTTGGGACTTTGACAAATGTTCACTAAATAGAGGTTGGTCGCTTAATAGAGGTATAAATTAGTGC